CCCCCCCCCGAGGGTCTCGCGCACCGCGGGCGCGCACAGCAGCTCTTGGCCCAGCCGCGCGTCCGCGTGCACGCGCGCGCCCGCTGCTGCTGCTGCTGGGCCTTCTTCTCCTCCTTCTGCTGGAAGATCCTCCTGCACGTGATCTCCGCGAGCATGGCTCTTCTGTCTGGCTTCTTCCTCCTCTTCCTCACACTCTTCCTCCCCCTTCCTCTCTTCCTCCTTTCCTCCCTCTTTCTCCCTCTCTTCCTCTCTCTCTCCCTCCCTCTTCCTCCTCTTCCTCCCTCTCTTCCTCCTCCTCCCTCTCTTTCTCTCTCTTCCTCCCTCTCTTCCTCACTCTTCCTCCCTGTCTTCCTCCCTCTCTTCCTCCCTCCTTCACATCCTCCTCCTCCTCACTCGGATCCCCTCAAAGCACCAATGGGAGGCAGGTTTTTTCTGGCTCTGATCTTCTCCCTGGTTCGGGGGTGTGTTTTTTTTGGGGGGGGTCTACCTCTTCACCACCCTGTCTCTCTTCTTCTTGACCTCTGGCTTTGGCCGGTGGCGCATCGCCCGCTCGTGGTGCGCGCGCAGCTTGCCTGCTGGTCCGGGTCCTGGTCTTGATCCGGGTCCCGGTCACGCCCTCCTGGGTCTGGGCGCGTGGGGAGCTGCTGGAGGGCGCGTGGAGGGGTGTGGGGGGGGGGGGCTTTAGGCTGCTTTTCCTCCGTTAACCACCGGCTCTCTCCGTGTTTTGATTCCGACTACAGCTGGGCGTCCCGCTCCGGGAGCTTATATAGAGGCGGGAGATACCATTCTCCAGCCAGCCGCAGGGGGGTTCAGAGCTCCAGGGCTTTTTCTCCAAACTGTGTTCACGCGTCCAAACGGGGAGTTTATGAGGAGGAACAGCCTCGATGTGGCCGTTTAGGAGGTTTCCCAGCAGATTCCCGGCTTTGGGTGGAGCCCCCCCCCAAGGCAGATGGTTTGCCCCCCCCCTGTAGCCAGATGGTTCGGTCCGCTTCAGTTTTTGAAGCTGAAATCTGATCCACAGCTGCTGCTGCTACTCCCCTTCCTCCTCCTCCTCCTCCTCCTCCTTACCTGAAGGAGTCCCATCAAACTCTGATCAGGGACTTTTGTTTTCCTCCCCAGAGTGAAATTCCAGATATTTTCTGGTTGGTGCAGAACTAAAGGAATTTAGTTTCTTCCTCATCCAATTGAACCAGCTTTTAAATAAACACGTGGACTTTTCCCCTTAAATGTTTTTTTTTAATTTCCTGTCTGTAGCACCTTTTTCCCCAAAGTTGATCTCAAACATGTTTCCTATACTTGAGTCCTTTCATACTTGGGTCCTTTTGGTTCAGTAGCTCCAAACAGATGAGAATCTGGGTCTAATAGTGCCACACTGCCCCCTGGTGGCTGTGATGTGTATTACATGAGCAAATCTGAGGCAGAGGCTGGAGATGACGTCTTGTTTTTTATGGTCCACACGAAAAAGCCTGGTTAAGAATACAGTGGCCTGTTTAAGGGAGGCTTTGTATTAATCTTCCAGTAGTGCTGTGTCTGTGTTCATAAATCCATTTTGGGTGTCTGTGGATGCAGACTTCAACCCTCGTGTTGTCCTCTGGTCATTTTTCCTCTTTTTTCTGCATCTGACCAACACTTTGGTCTATAATCCCCTTATTCCAGAAGCTGAAGTCAGTTTAATAAAAACAACACCTCAGTTCTGAATGGAAACAGTCAGAAATCCTAAAAATGTGTTCAGTAGCTGCAGAGAAAATAAAAAAGATGAGTTTCTAGGTTCAGAAATTAGAAAAACTCAGAGCGTTCTGCCCCATGAGAGTCCGTTTGGGTCCTGAAGACCAAAACAAACTAAATTAATCACAAAATACCAGTAAATTTATGAGGAATGCTGACATTTATCTGATATTTCAGGGAAAACTAATCAGAGGAAAAAGGATTTGGGCTCAGAAAGGGCTCAAAGTTTCCATTTTAGGAGCAGAGCTGCATTATAAGCATCCAGAATCATGTTCCTATAGCAGAGAAATGCCATTTTAACTGCTCATAACACTAAATTCTCTGTTATTTAAACCCACAGATGTCCCCAAGTCACCACACAAGGATTCTAATACCAAAGCAGCTTCTTGTGACATGACTGTTACACTAAGCTAAGTAAAAAGCTTTGAAATATTTCATGTACGTTTGATCGTTATGGAGGGGCTTGTATTGTATATTACATTTTAAAAGAGCTATCTGAAAGACTTACACAGTAGTGCCACTTTAATGTCACACATTGGTTTAACGTCCAAATAGAATCAGCGGAAATC